ACACTTCCTGATATCTGAGGCAGGAAACATAGCCTTATATGGTGTTTTTGGGGTGGTAATTATGCTAATCTCCTCTCGCGTGGACGAGCAGCTGGATATGAACAGGTGTAATTTACGCAGCTCATTTTCACACTTTTCCTGAAGATAGAAGAGTTTGTTGAATCTGACGTGACATGTTCGTACGAACCCTTCATACGAACAAAAGTAAGAGAAATTTAGGATAAGAATACGAACATGTTCTTGCATGAGGCCCATTGTGTTTATTTATTTATTCTAATCTTTTCCATACAATTTAAATTAGTTTGTCACTAGGACAAATTATTGCAAAATTAATTTTCTGTCTTTTACTTTTTACCTGAATTCAATTTTTCCTGACTGCAGCTCTCCCTCCCTCCACTGTGCTACTTTGTCAGTTGGATTAAGAGGTCCTTCCAGAATATGTTCCCAAAGGTAAAGCCCTGAGGAGAAAGAAAAGTTCAATAAAATCTGATAACAAATGCAAACATTAATATGACACAAAATATCAATGCACTAAATTATAACTGGGGACTTTTGTCTTGATATAGCAACTTAATCACTGATTTCTGTCCATAATCACTCATTTCTGTCCACCACACTGAAACATAGAGCAACATTCATTTTCTTTACCATCTGCTGACACTGTAATTACTGATTTTACAACCGCTACATTTATCAGATTTCACTGATTTAAGTTTTGTTTTTTAAGTTTGTTTCGAAGTTCAGAAGCTATAAAATATTAATGAGCACAATAAACATGTTCAGAATGAAATGAACACAAGAAATGTTATTTTTGAAGACAAAACTGTGAATCAGTCAATCAGTTATTTCACTCTTACAAGGACTTACCGATGGCAGCTTTCCCCCATATTTGGACGTTGTATCGTTTAGGTTTTTTCTTGTTAATTCTAGCCATGTGCTCTTTAAAGGCCTGTCTTTTCTTGTTTAAAGCGGAGTTGTATTCCACCTCCTCATCCTCCCACGGATTCCACTCATCAGCAACAAATGGAGCACCGCCATCTCTGACACCACCTGCAACCACAACGCGGTTTCCACTGAACTCACTTGAACACTTTTTTTAATTACAATTTCCCATTGAAACGTTTTTTAAAGTGGTTCAATCCATCGGATGCATAGTTACCAGTGAGTCTAAATCTTAATTTGTGTTAAGTGAAATTACCTTGCGGTGCTCCGGGTTCCTTCTTCACCACCCTGTGAACGCGAGAGATTACTTTGTTGCTAAAGAAAACATTATATGCAGCATAAAGAGAAAAAGCAACGTATGCAAAAATAATGAGAAGAAATAGTTTTCTCTTCGGTATTTTCATTTTTTTCTTCGATTATCTCAGGTTACCATTGTGTGGCTATTCTCCGTACATTTTGTGCGAGGACCCTTGTTTACACCAGAAGGACCACTAGATACAGTTGGCTTAAGATATGCCTGTCTTAAATATATATTTTAGCTTGTTTCGCAGAGTTAAAAAAGCAACCTTTTACAATTTAATTCATTATATATTATTATTTTTAAAACTCATGAGTAATTAAGGGAGGAAAAATATTTCCAGACATTTTATGGGAACTGAAAAAAGCTGTTTCTATGACGGCAGGAAATTGTGGGACACACAGGGTCGTGTCTGTCACAAGCTGTGGGTTAGAGGCGTTTCTTATTTGGGGCAAATAATCATGTTTATTATTCACCTCTCTCAAACTAACGTTCCTCTCTATCAAGAATGAGAACATCCTCATCTCTGAAAAAGTGACCGCTGGCCTGTAAATGAGTGAAAACTGCAGAGTTCTGGCCATTAGATGTAGCTCGTCTGTGTTGGGACATTCTTTTGAACAGTGGCTGCTTTGTTTCCCCGATGTATAACTGGTCGCAGTCCTCCTGGCACTTAACAGCATATACAATATTGCTCTGTTTGTGCCGGGGCACCGGATCTTTGGGGTGAACCAGCCTTTGCCATAATGTGTTTTGGGGTTTGAAAGCCACTGGGACATCATGTTTAGAAAATAAACGTCTCAGTTTCTCCGAAACACCTGCAACATACGGAATAACCACTGGTTTGGGTCTGAGTTTGAGGTCTTCATTTTCACCTGAAGGTTGCATGGAATCCTGTCTGTGTTTCCTGTCTGCTTTCAGGAAAGCCCAGTCAGGATAACCACACTGCTCCAGGGCCTGTCGTGTGTGTGATTTCTCTTTCTCCCTGGCTCCTGGGTGAGTATCACTCACATGGAGGCAGGGCTTAAAAGCCTGAATTTTGCCTGAAACTCTCAGACTGAAGAAGTCTCTTGGAGGAGAGACGAAACGTTTCATTAGAGAAGAACCCGTCCAGAAGACCTATACAATTTTTTTCTTTTTTTACCTGGATTACTGAGATGCATCAGGACAAGACTGACGTTCATGTTACATTTGGAAAGCTTATGAATATATACAGTAATGTTAATTTTAAATAGATGCAAAAGCTGAAAAAAATTGGTCATCTTTCTGGAAAGCTTAATTTTCAAGGTCGCCTAATTGTAATATAAATCATTTTCATGAACATTTAAGTRTGTTGTAGCAAGGACAGTAAATATTGAAGTCAGATTTTTTTCACATTTATTGATTTGTTTTCTAAACATGCTTATGGTTTACATGTCTAGCTCCTGTCCACACAAACCTTATGTTTCTTGACTTCTCGGGCTGCCTTTAACCACAGGTTTTGGAACTCAAGACGTCCTCTTAAGAAAGCAGTGATGAAAGAAAAGCATCATCCTACCTGGTGACTTGTGCTGCTCCTAAGGAGTAAAGTTTTGAGTCACTATCTTTAAAGTTATTAGATTATAAAAATCAGTACCTAAGAGGAATTTGCACATGGAGTGAAATATTAAACTTGAGCAGTTTAAAAATAAAAGAAATTGATACATTTGTGCATTATGATTTGCACAAAAGCCCACCAAAAGAAAAAAAAGACATTTAAATCCACATTGTTTTACTGAAATAATCCAATATGCAGTAAATTAACTCGCACAACAATGCAGTAAAATGTTTGTATCAATATGCAAACATTAAAAAATAGCTCATTAAGTCCATAGTTGTCCTTATATAAATGTGTATCAGTGCTATTACTGTCATAATAAATAATTTTCTACTAAGAAGTGCACTTTCTTAAATAACAAATACACACTTTGTATTTTTTCCCCTTTTAAAGTGCTAAAATGTTGTTGTTTTTTTACCACTGCCACCTGTAAGAATTGTGATGGCACTGTTGTTTTTGTAAAGCATGATTGCACTTTCTTCCGTTATACAGAAATAGTCATCTCCAAGGCACCATCTCATTGATTGAAAGTCTCAAGTCAAGGTTGTTAAAGTTTTTAACTGAGATTAATCCACGTAGTGCACCTCAGCCTGGAGCTCTTTGCTGATATACCCAATAAGAGCAGCTGTGAGCTGTTGCTTCATTGTGGCATTGCCCATCACCAGAGCAGTAAGCTGAGCCAGGTCAGTCCACTGAATGTCTCCCAGGATGACCACGAGATCATCGTAAAGTTTCTGCTGTTGCTGAGGGCTGAGCTCCATTATGATCTGAGGCAAAGGTTTGAACTGTCCACTGGTCAGCCAGCAGCCAAGGAGGCCTCCCACTGCTCCACCTGGGTAGGAAGAAGGTTTTAAACTTGTAGAAAAACAAGTGGGATGGATCATCCACAAGCTTATTTTTTACTTACCAACTGCAATACCAAGAGGACCTCCAATCAAGCCTCCAGCAAAGGCAAGACCCCCAGCGGCTGCTGCTCCTTTCCCAGAACCTTTCACCGTGGACTTTATCTGCTGGTTGGCCGATAACTCACAACACAGCTTCATGACATCATCAATCCGATGACTCATCCTGTGGATCACAGAGTTTGACACAACAGAGTTCAACAAGTTCTTGTGACTAAAGTTGTTATTTTTAGTGGAACACTGACAATAAATACAATACAATGTCAGGATCACAGTTACCTGTTACCTGACCAAGATTTATAGCATGTACTGTGACTGAACACCATAAACTAAATACAATTTCTAAATTTGTAACACAAAATAATAATAATAAAAATAATAATAAATAAATAAAATAAAAAAGTCAAAGTGTTTTGCCGTTACTGTTCGTTTGTTGTTGCTTTTTTTAATACCAATTATGGTTTAAATCACCATATATACATGCATACAATAACATAGTAATATGTATCTTAACAATTATAACGTAATATTTACAATAAAGCTTATATTTTCTTTCAACACAACCTTACTTTTGTAGTAAAACAGTAAATTGTTTCTTTGCTTCTAGAACAAAACACAAACAATACGGGCTTAATATATTTTGGCATATGAAAAAAGTATTTAAAAAATAATTATCTAAGTTGTTATATTCTTACAATAATTTCCAACAGCTTAACATACACACTGAAATAATACGGTAGACACGTTTCACGTTTATTTTATTACAACTACAGCTTACAGCAGTTTATTCTGACACTGACATTCAGAGCATAATCTGAAGCATAATCTGCAAATTAAACTATTACCTGGTTGATTTGTTTATTTTTCACATTTAGCTTCTCTTGTCTCATACGACAGGTTGCGTCAGAAAGCATCATGAATCAAAAGCTAACCTGCTTTCTTTGCAGTGAAATGTTTAACTTAAAAAAAACAAACAGTTTAATTGAAATGTAGTAAACATTTATCTACCTTACAGTGAAGTTTAATCCTCAGATATTATTATTTTTTTATTGTTAATAAAACGCGGTTTCAACTCTCCTCCGCCTGGTCATGACTTTTCATCTTTATATGGTTGTCTTGTCGCAATGCATGATGGGTAAAGTTCCTGTGCTGCGTTCATGAAAATTTGACAAGTTTTGCCACAAGTGTTTTGAGACGCATTTGAGGTCAACTTACAAATGTTTAAATTTACGTTAAATCGGCTTGTTTTATTTACAGCTCAGCCCAATTGTTAGGGAGGATTTAAACTTAACTTAGGCATATTTCTTTGTCGATTTCTAAGAAAAATAAATGTTTTAATTTTATCTTTATTTTCTGATACTCTTTCTAAATTTCAATGTGTTGACACAAAAAGCAACCATTAGCTGTCTATATTTTAGTACAATTAAAATCCACCTTTGATGTCGTTAACAAATTGAACAGATAAACAGAATAAGTTTATGATGCAAAAAACACAATCAGGAAACTGGATGAAGAAACATGTTAGTAGGCCTACTGCTCACTGTCTGACAAGGCACTTTTAATTATGAAAAAATGTCTGTGACTATCGAAGGCAACAAAATAATTAAAAAAATGGTACGTTTTAGATATAGTGGGTGGTTTTTTTATATTTATCTATTTATTATTCTTGACATGTGTTCATTTAATTTTGAAAATGCCTAAAGACCTACAAAATAAAACCTCGTTTTACTTGCATGTTGTTTTCAACACGAAGTTGTTATTTCCGACGGTATTGAAAGCACCAAAATAGACACGAAAGTTTATTTGAACCATTGATTTGACTTGAACCACAAATCGTAGCACAAACACGATAGTGGTAAAAGATGACTATTGAATAAATCGCTCATTTTAATTATTTTTAAATTGTGTCAAAAAACTATTGTAGCCTAATGGAAAGTTTGACTTGCTTTTCGTTAAAAGTCGCCTCTTTTTTTCTTAGAACTAGCACTCTCAGTAAGTGTAACCCTGCGAAGCTGTGATAAATAATCATGTTACTGAATTTTAACTCTTATGTCTCGCTAAATTAAGATTGTTTACATTTCTGCAAGCGATTTTATTACCCAAGGTACACCGGGAGACTGGAGAAGAAGCAGCGACGTCAAGTTTTGCTGTTTAAGTTGTTCAAAGGAAGTTGTAACTGAGTTTTCAAAGTAAAAGCAACGAAGACAAAAATGATGAAAACTTTCGTATAAAATTGTACAAATATAGACAGTTCCAAATTTATCAAACTCGCATTTTATAGAGTTGTTTTTTTACATATAAAATTAATATGTGGTTTTATTGGCGATGTATAGTTACGTTTTTACACGAATGTTTTTAGGTCTTCAGTTGTCTTATCCATAGATATTATAATAGGACTATAATAGGAATCTATGGTCTGTCTTATCAGCCTTAATTTTCTTTTACTTTGAAAATTCAAACCGGATGTTTGGTTGATCCTCCTGCCTGCTCAGTGTTCGGGGTGCATGGCGCAGCTAAAGTGACGGGGAGAATCATTAGCTAACCTTCGGGGATCTTGAAAACGGTGGATATTTTGTTTTCTGGGGATCATGCAGAAACCCTGAAATGAGACCACCTCCGGACGTGTGGACCACCATCATCGCTTCATTGATGAAAACGTGCAGAACGGATCCCAGGAACAGCTGCTGTTGTTGGATTCATAAACATTTCTTTAGGACTCACAACAACCCCTGAGCTTTGTTTTGTGTGTCACGAAACGCTCAAATTAGACCCGTTTTGCACGCGGTTCAATAATGGCTGAGGAAGGCACAGTGAATTTAGGGAGGCTTCGAGAGGCACACCAAAAGGTAATTTTGGATTTGTTGACACGAAAGAGTTTTGCTTTCAGGAGGCGGAACCCGTGGTGTTAGCCGAGCCGAGCCGAGCCACGCGGTCTCGTTGAACTACGAGTGGCTCGTGCTAAAGCGTTTCCTGCTTTTAGTTTTCTGTTTGTTTTTTTTTTTTCAATCAGTTTTCCAGAAGCTTCCTCCTTCGCGCAGCCAGTCACGTGCTCAGGTTTCCTTTAAACGGAAGCGGGGAGGTGTGTTTGGTTGGTAAACTAAGTTCCTTTGCATCCACCCCACGTGTTTACAGCTGTCATTTCTTACTTTTTGGATAAAAATAAGCTCCAGGTTTTCAGAAAATAATGGCTTCACTTCATTGACAGTAACTGTGAATGAACCAAAAGTGCACGCCCCTTTTGCACGCGACTCAGGAAGTCGGTTTAACTGTGTTTGCTGCACTTTAAATAAAACTACAAGTTATTAAATCAAATAATCATGCAACATTATTAAGTGTTGGATTCTAAAGATGCAGATGTTTTGATCCTAGCTCATATTCTGTCCTCAGATTGACTTCATGTTTATATATTATTATATTTCATAGTTAACTTCTCAGTATTGCTTCTGGTATTTAAAGAGGTCATCACTGTAAACTATGAAATCAAACCTGCGATAAGTAACCCTGAACCATATCAAAGAGTGCTGTTAAAGGGATAACTCCCAATAGTTTTCAAGGTATGTTGCTGTGCAGTTCTGAAATGTGGGTACTCACTCAATGTAAACAAAGCACTTTGCTAAATCTGCCAGACAACACTGGAGTCACATGTTTGAGCTACGCTAGCCGAAGCAGGTAAACAAATATGGTAGAACTGGACACACAGAATCTCAGATTTAAAAAAAAAAAAACTTGTAAGACATGTCAAGAATAGAATACTGCAGATCAAGCAAGGTGGTGGAGCACCATAAAACACAGCTCTGCTATCAAAAGAATCAGCTTTTACTAAAACTCTAGACTTGAGTTTTCTATTTACAGTTAGCATAGCTTGTCTTTTTATCAGCATACCTTAAATAAGACTGTAAATACGTACCAATATCTATTAGGGGTGTAAGAAAATATCAATACACTGAAATATCGCGATATTTCATTTCCCAATACTGTATCGATATTCTAAAGCCCTGTATCGATTTTTTTTATTAAGGTTTAAAACGTCAACTTTCCTGCCAGCCGTTCATTTTTATGTTGTAGTTCAGCCTCTGACCACTAGTTGGCAGCAGTGAACCTCTTGAGGTAGAGACTATTGTTAAGTGTTGGGTGACCATATTGTAAATTAATATTAAAAACTAAAAGCTGCAAAAAATATATTTTAAAACTGTTTATTGTCAAATWTAGTCTAATAATTGAAAACATGGATGAAATATGAAACAAATAAAATAAAACACATACAAAGCAGAACACAGCCAAATGTATCAAAAGTATTTCTATGTAATATTAGAATTTTCTGAGACAATGAATTTTGGTTTTTCTTTTTTTTTTTTTCCTTGTAAGAGGTTTGTATTTAACAGAGTTTTTGGACAAAAAAAATCGTAATATATCGCCTTGTTTACAGTATCGTAATATATCGGGATATATCGTATCGTGACCCCTCTGTCATGATATGTATCGTATCGCCAAGTTCTTGCCAATACACAGCCCTAATACCCATGTCAAAATTGTGAGACTTCTCCATCCTAAAGGACTCTTSTCTGGACGTCATCGTTGTCAACAGATTGTCAGTCACTTTGGCTGCTTCTGTAGCTCATCAAACACATGGATGTCCACAGGCTCTCAAATTGTGCTTATAGGTTTTTGATTTAAGGGCACATTAACTAAGAGAATCAAATTTAGCATATTTTTGTTTCTGTATTTTTTTTAAACTAATCTTAACATTKCAGTGAGTACCTCCAACCTGTTTGTCTCCATTGGGAAATAAATTTGTGTGTTATCTGTAGAAGCTCCTGTAACTTGTGTTGTTTAATTCTAAAGCCAAACTCAAATTGTTTGTCCTAAAACAGGTGGTGACAGACTGCGAGAGTCGGATTCAACACTGGTAAGCATTGTTTAGAAAAATAAATGCATTTGATCAAGCGTCACAGTACTTTGATACAGTATCTGCTTCGTTATGTTTACTAACCTTGTAAAGTYAGAACAGATTGAGCATTTGAAGAATGTGTCATCATTACAACCTTGAAAAACAAGCAGCAGGCAAATAATTACATGAATAACTTGTCAGTGTAAGTATTCGTCCAAAAGTAGCTTGCAGAGTCGTAATGATGAAGTTAAAGCTCAGAGTATTTTAGGATTTTATTTTGCTCTTATGGGATGTTACTACTGCTACTTTTAGTTTATAATAGGTTTAGTTTACCTTTGAAAAATGCTCATTTGCCTGATTTTTAAAAAATTTTTTTTTTTGCACAATTGTCACAGCACCATTTCTTTAAAGTGGATTGGATTGCACTTAGAATATTTTTCTTTTAACTCTACCTAGTCTCTTCTTGTCTTAACAAGAGTTCCTTACTCTTCATTTTGCTGCCTGCTGAGAGCCGTTTCAAACTTGGGGAGCTTTTCAGAACAGGTGTACTGAGATTATAGATTACACACAGGTGGGTTTAATTGTGCTAATTATGTGACTTTTGAAGGTAATTTGCTGTAATTAGGGTCTTACAGCAAAAGAGGTAATGCCTTTTAAAAGACTGCTTTTCAATTTTTAATATTACAAAAAAGACATTATTTTATTCTGTCAGTTTGGATTATTTGTATAGATATGTCACATTAAACATGGAGCAAAGAGCATTTGGTCAATGCGCGAGCCATGGCCATGTTTTATGCCATAAATAATAATTCAGGATCAGCACACGTGTGAGCTTCTGTTAGGGAGTACAGCACATTGTGGTGCAAAAACAGTGAAAAGCTGTTTCTCAACCACCATTTGGAGCCAATTTTGCACAAAAAAAGCCTTTCAACTGAAATATCTCCTGATTCTTTCCCATTCCATCGTTTCACTGAAACATTTTGAGAGAAACAAAGAAACGAGATGGAAATGTGGACCTAATTAATGGTGTTTACTGTTGGGTGCAGTTTACATGTTCTCCCCGTTAGCAAATAAGTTTTCTCCATTTTTTTTTCTGATTTCCTCTGGAAATGGATCGATAGAGGTTTTATTTTGAAATGAATTGACATTTAAAGATRGCAGAGCTGTTTGCTCACAGATTACGTGGAAACACCGATGTGTTTCGGAGCATTACAAAGTGCCGCTTTGCTTCAGTAAATACACTTCCATMAACTGTAACAAGTTCCCTTCGGTTTACAGTTCATCACAGATTACATAGCAGAGAGTTAAAGTTTCAGGTTAAAAAAGCAGCTCAGATTTACATGAACAGACTGCATTCATTTATAGAGTCAAATTCTAAATGACATTCAGATAAATTGCATTTTTAACTCTGTTGTTTCTGCTTCATAAAATAGCTGCAAATAATTGAAATAAAAATGTATTTTTTGGCACTTATAGAAGAAATGCAACATTATTTTATTTAAAGTTCCTCATAAATGAAAGTTTGCTTTGTAGGTAAACAGTATCATTAGATTCTCGTTCCAATTTGTTGGTCAGTTGAACACCTGGGTATCAGAAATTATTGTTATTGTTATTATTATTATTATTTACTTTCATTTACCCAGGAAAATCCAATTGCTTTAGCAAGGGAGCCCTGAGCCAGAAGGCAAACTAACGTGCACGTGTTTGATCTGTGGGAGGAAACCAGAGTACCCGGTAGGGTTGGGCAAAATCGTATCATGTGCAATTAATCGTCAGAAAAACCGTCAACAATTAATATTTGCCACCTTGCAGTTACTGCAGTTAGTGCCACATGATGATATATTTTTGTCTGCAATATATCAAATGTGCATGTGAGCTTGTGACATGTTGAGTTACTAAAGATCTGCTGCCACTCCATATGGAGTTAACTTCTAACCTGTTAGTTAGACTGATGTAAGCATATTTTAGAACACAGGGTGACTGGTTTAGAGTAAAAAACATACAAAGGYTCTTGTCATGTATTAATCATTATTGGCTAAATCCCTCAATTAATTGTGAATAATTTATTTTGGCAATATTCCTCAACCCCAGTACACAGAAAAACCCACACAAACACAGGAGAACATGTAGACTGAAAGACCCCTGGTCTGAACCGTGTGAGGGGTCGGTGCTGACCACTGAACCAACGTGTTGCTCAGTTCTTCCTCTCAGATTTCTCACAATTTTTGTTTTTGTTTGAATAAAAAAAAAAGTGATACTATAAGAGATACTTTTTATTAATTTCCCACTAATAAACAGTCACTTCTACTTGGTGTGTTTTTCTGCTTCTCATTGTACCCATTTTGACCTTCCTTCAAGTGTTTTAATTAAAAAAGCCCATCTGGGTGGAGGTATCGTTAACTCAAACCATAAAACATTTATTTGACTATTTAATCATTTTCACAGGAAAAAGGTGTCTGATGACTACAAAGCCCTAAACGATCGCCTGGAAACTCTTCCAGATCAACTGTCTTATGACATCATGGTGAGTGTTGACCTTAAAAACTATCTGCACCACTTTTTATTTTTTTTGCTCAACTTTCATGCTGACTTTYTTCCACCTGGTTAATTTGACCCACTTTTTTGTTCTTTTTTATTTTTCCCATTTTCACCCTCTGTTCCACGAGCAGGTGCCATTCGGCCCTTTGGCCTTCATGCCCGGGAAGCTGGTGCACACCAACGAGTTGACGGTGCTGCTGGGCGACAACTGGTTCGCTAAGTGCTCCGCCAAGCAGGCTCGAAACCTCATCGATCACAGGATGAACTGTGAGTGCCGCTTCCTGTCGTCTCTGAACTGATTTCATCGCATCGCTTTTAAAGGGGCAATATCATGTAAAATCAACTTTTTTGAGTTTTATATCATGTTATAATGTTATACTCTCATAAAAAACATGCCCAAAGCCTCGTTCTGACTCATTCATGCATGTTTGAGAAATCCTGCAGCGTTTTTAGGAAGCCATGCTGAGGAGCAAAACGAACAGGAACGCCTCTGGGTTGTGTCCTTTTGGGACAATCTCCTCCTCTGGGATGTGCCTTTAAGCCAAGCTTCCTCATGGCAGAGCAT